CCTCTGTTAGAAGACCTAGGGTATTGAATTAAAAAGGCAAATGACCCTGTGTTGTGTGAGTTAAGTTAACTCTAATAAAAATCCCTTTGCATACTTGAATTTTAGTGCACTTTTCATTATCTAAAACCCTAAAACCCTATTTTAGTGCACTTTTGGTTATTTTGACTTGGTTCGTGTATGTGACACAAAGCAGATAAGAATTTGGGAACATAATACTTTATTCAATCAAAGTTCACAACCGAATCCCATTGTATCTCTGATGCTGGTAGCTCAGCGCGACACAAGGGGTAGGTGTTTGCCCTGGTAAGCCACGCGCGGATACAAGTAGTGTGGAAAATGTGTCCACAGGGCATACTAGTTCCAGACGTGTCGGCATCGTCCTTGCACACCGTGCACGTAGAAACAAGAGCTGCACGGGGGAGTTTCTCCACTACAAGGGGGTCCGTCGACACGTCTGGAACTTCGTCGTGCCAGTCGGACATCTCATGCACCCCAACCATGATCGCAGAGAGTTTCAGCTCGTAAATCGTTGCTTCTACGCGATCCATGCCCCTACCCCCAGCATTTCGACCATAACCCAGCATGAGGAGTAGTGCATCAAAATCATTTAATTGAAAGTTGGCCGAAAACTTGGATACGATGTCCGATAAGACAAATACCGTCATCGGAAAAGCAACTGCACCAACGGCCAGTTCGGCTATACTGGTTGACATGAGACGTATAGTCTCCATGTCCGGTCCATCTTCCGTGGACGACGTCGCCTTCATCAACATGTCCATAAGCGTCCAGTTGCACAACCAGTTAGCTCTCTTGCGTAGCAACATGGAAAGTATATTCCATTTCCGTCCGAACATACAATGTTCGCGTATCATACCGAGTGTCATTGCGGCACCTCTATCACCGCAAAAACACTCCTCGTGTCCGTGTAAGGTGTTGGGGTTTGCGCGTGCGTCGTGTCCAGACATGTGACGAAAGAAACTTACAAAATAATGACGTGTTGTAAGTGTGAATACGCACTCTATTTATACGAAATGAAAGATGTTTCGGCCCCTGTGGGTCATAATTTCGTATTTCCGGGTGGTACGTGACGGGGGGGATCATCGAACAGCCACATCTGATGGGTCACTGAACAAACATCAATACAAAACCCTAACCCCAGACTCCGTTACTCGGGGTTTAGGGTTAGGGTTTAGGGGTTTTGTGGCACTCATACTCGTGTTCCACCGTAAAACCACCGGTTTTTTTGGGGGGGTTTCGGGTATTAAAAAATGGGGCTTAAATTTTTACAGCCAACGCTGGGTTTTTTGGGAAATCATTTTATTATGCGGGAAAACATTTTATTATGCGTTAAAATTCAGCATACAAATTCCCGTACGTGGCAACAGCGATCTGTGACGGCGCTTTCTAGATGCAGTCTACAAAATGCCACTTCTGGTCCTCGTACTCGATAAATTTGCCGGCAACCATCAACATAACCACATCGGCACTGGAGTAGTTGACCACAATATAATCGTTAGCCACGCTCTGGATAAAGACCTGTTCATGATCCACTTGTTGTTCGGGGCGGTCTTGCTCGTGTTGACGGTGAGTCGGATATTGTCACCATTCGTACCCGGGACCGTGGTGTCCTCAGCCACCAGATACTTTGCCCCGCGACGCATAGTAAACTCGGTCTCGGAAACATACTCAATCATCCAGCGGTCCGGTTTCTTGGTGACCATGACAGCCTTGTTGTTGACAATGTCGAGGTACTGGTTCAGTGTGTCGTCGGGATGTGTGATGCGACACTCCTTTACTACCATAGTCGGGGTGTCCTGGTCACCACCGTTGTTATTGTTAACAGTGTTGCCGCCACCATTGTTAGTGACCGTGTTGCCGCCGCCGTTTGTGACATCAATAGATGTGTCAATGACTAGATCTCCGGCAACCGTGTTACCGTCAATGTAAATGTTGTTGACATTATTGACTAC